GGTCAAAGCGATGCAATTACGTGTACATATTAGGTGTGTTCGACTTAACAGTGTTCGACTTAGCAGTGCGGCTCAGACCGATCAGTGTTTGACATCAAAGTACCTCGAGAGCGTTTCGAAAGCATAACCGTCTGTATGGTACTTTGATGTCATACACCGATCGGTCTGCACACGCAAACAAAGCCAAAACCTAGATATTTTAGGCAATATAGAAATCCTGGCCAGGACGCGTCCTGGGAAAATGGCACGTATGGTCACCCTAACTCATGCTGTAGTATCAGGGCTGGTTTCCTTGATAATCCTGCACTAGAAAGTTTAAATAGTTTCCGCCAAAGGGCAATTTGCGCTAAAAACAGAGACCTTAAATTTCTGTGAAGCGTTGACCATTATGCTAAAGTGCTTTTGCACCAGAGAAAGAGTGTGAAAAGGGACACCGCAGCCAGGAAGATGGATAAAGTTCTTAGTTTTTGATTACTAAACTGTGATATCTCCTGATTCATTTGAAGATGTAGGAAAATATATGAATATGTTTGAAATATATACTTTATTCAAGATTTAATATATATTTCAATATAGAGAGAGGTTGTTGCATATATTTATTGTTAATTTGTGTACATAGAACACTTATCAAAGCTCTAGAAGGAAAGAGTTTCTAATTATTAAACTGCGTTTTATTCAGCGACACGCACAAGCACGTTTGAGACGTGTCCGTGTGAGCGCATGCGTGTGTCGTAAGTTGATCTGTGTCTATTTTGGTGAATGTAAGCGTGTCCGTGTGACGTTTTAAATCATTCCACTTGTACGTCTTGTGTCTTCCTCCCGGCACATGAAGCCAAACTGCCTTTTTCTTGCCCAGCAGCTCAGTCCACTGGGCATCTGTTTACACATCCACCTGGCTTCAGAAACCTGAGCGGTCTAAAAATGACCATCTTGGTTCGGCCCGAACCCATACACACACACACGCTTTGTCTGCTGTGGCATCATTCCTGTTTTTATTTTGTCTTGAGGTGAGAGTTTGGACCAGGAGGCACTGCAGGAAACGGCACTGGACTCAGTAACTTCGTGTTTTTTAATTTAACCGATAGCCCATATTTTGTCATTTTAAATCAGTCAAATAAAAGAAAAGTGATGTGAGGTGGTAATGGTATTTTTTTTTTTTTTTATAGAGCACAAGTGCTCTAGCCTAAACCAAATATAGTATTTATAGATGGTAGAATTTATTTATATATAACATAAAATGCAACGACTCCCCTTTTATGCAGACAGAGGTCAATGTAAAAAAATCTCATGTGAGACAACATGAAGAGAAGCGGCACTTTACATCCAGGCGTTAAAGACAGAAAGCCTGATGTATGAAATATATGTTTGCTGGTAGCACATATGATAATATTCCAGCTACAAAACACATGGTATTGTATTGAATGTATTTAAGATGTTTTTCCCAGAAAATAATCTGCTGTAATGTGATTTGAATCATGAATCGTGTTCCGCAGTCCAGCAGTTTAGCTGGACTTTAGTGTTGCTCTGAGCAGTGTTTGAAGCCAGCATTATATTCCAGAACGCAGTTGAACTACTGAGATATTTAACTGCTTATTCACTGTTCAGAATCTTCCTTCAGTTATAATTCTTTTATTTTGGCATTAGAGTGCATCTGTATAGGTTGTAGGGTGTGTATTCTGCAGTATGGATTTGATCGCTCTTTTTTCACTATGTGTGTTTAGAGAAAAGATGAATTGGTTGCTCATGGTTTGGTATTTTGGAACTGAAAGTGAAAAAGCAAATGAAATCACTGTCACAATCATGTTCACTGTACTGTACGTGTATAAGTGAGTGTGAATGCCTCATGTGAAATTGTTTATTGCATTTTACGTTTTTTTTTTTTCTTTGTGGACCACCTGTTTTCTTCTGCTATACACGAGTAAACATTACTGACTCCAACAGAGCAAAAAGTTATAATTAACCTTCAGCCTGATTGTTTTGCTCATATGCAGCGACTTCTCGTGATGTATCTGACCAAAGATTTGAGTTTGCATTTTGCAACTGAAAAATATGTTATCACTATGAGATTTGGCTATTGAAATTATGCTGAGCATTTGTGATCAAGTATCCAGGCAAAGGAAAGATTATTCTAAATTATATTTCAAATGTTCATATCATACTCGGTGCATTAGACTCTGTACCTGTGCTGTAGTTCCATGATCTACATTACAACTGTTTCTAGCAACAAACTGTCTCACAAATCAACTGTTTTATTTTCTTGAAAGTGTGCTGATTGATTTCCGCTGATGTCCATTTTTGGCATCCTTTAACTTCACTGGTGTAGCAATGATTTACTGTATTTTTTTCTTCTTCTTCTTCTTCTTCTTCTTCTTTTTAGAGCTGTTTTTATCTCTAGACCAGACTGATTTGTACATGTTCCCATATGCACTGTATGTATCAGACAATATGTGCAGTGTTCACTGAAACTGGAAGCAGAGCTGTGCTGTGCACAGTTTTCCATTCTGCCAACAACTTTGTCTAATATAGACTCTGATTCAGTGGCTCTCTGATCTATGTGAAGTAGACAGATTACAAATAATAATAAAACAACACTGGGAAAATACATAATATTTTTTATATGAAATTTTTTTTTTTTTTTTTTGAATGATTTACCATACCCTTTCTCAAATACAGTGTTGCAAGTTACAATGATTTCGCAGTATGCTAATATCACAGGCAATTGCATTATGCTTTTGGGAGTTTGCCAGAAGCCGAGTAAATGCATTTAACACCTCATTAAAAATTAATCTCAATATTTTCCATACAACAGAGAACTATCACGCTAATGTGCACTATCATGTCTAGCCACTAGATAGAGATATAACCCAGTTCTTTAATTACGTAATCTCCAGACGCATCCATATATCCAAAAATGTAGTAAACATCCAGCTTGCATCAGCCTTGCGTTTTAAATCGATTAAATACAGATTTGTTTTGATGAAATAACAATATTAGATAAACGCGGTGAATGTTGAGAAAATCATATTCACGTACAAAAAAACAGGCTATATAATTTATATAAAATGAACCTTCCTTTAATCGAATTTTCTGTCACTTTTCGAAAATACCGTGGTGGAGATAAATGACAGTTCCAGTTCCCTGCAAAAAGACGATCCTATGTCGTAACCAACAAACCCGAAATATTTGCCAAGTATTAATTAATTATCCTTATTAAGTCGCCCACACAGGAATTGTCGTGTCTTCTGACCTCTCAGTCGGTCGCAACATGCAAATTAATATTCTCGGCGTCCAGTCATTCATTTATCCAGCGCACTATGACTCGCCTTGGTCTGCATGCAAATGAAGCTGCGGGGGACTGACCAATAAGTGTATGGGAAATCTTCAGGAGGGCGGTGACTGATAGATTCCAACCAATCACAGCGGACAGGGCTGAATATTCTAATAAGCAGGGAACACCTCAATGTACAGCAAAGTGATGGGAAGATTCAAAACTGAGATGCTCAAACATTGTGCGACCGCAGCAATATGAGTAACAGAGACGCGTGTCGGGGGAAAACACTCAAGCTAAATGGGAATTTAACGTGATAAACGTCCACGGTTGAAGCAGAAGCAGGCTGACGCAGATCATATTGAAAGATTGATTGCTTTTGTTCTGTTGGGAAGGGTGAGGAGCATCCTGGTGGACCTCGGGATTCCTCAGAAGATGGAAGAAGAGCGCAGTCGGAATAAAGAGCGTCTGGAGGCCAGTTTGACGTGGCTGTGTGAGCTGGAGATACTGAAGCAGCGGCAGGAGAGTCTGGTCCTCGGTGCCCTGTCGCTCGGGGACTCCGTGCCGGGATTCCCGGCTTGGGGTGATGTGGGTCCGGCCCGCAGCAGCAGAGAGCAGGAGCAGCTCACTTTAAGACGACAGCTGGTAGGGGCGACATGATGAAAACCATCCTTTAGAAATTCCCTCCAGCGGTTCACTATCGCTTTATGGAGGTGTGGATATTCGGAAAGTGTTGTGAAAAGTTTAGAAATGACGAGAAATGTAGTGCCAGTTCAGTACTGTCACTATTAGTCAAGAGCGTACAAAAACAACAAGCTTGTTTAAAATGTACTTTTTGGTGTTACATAATTGGCACGTGTCGATATGGGTTTGTAACATCAATATGCCATTATAATGACATTAACAGAAGCAGTTATATAGTTAAATGCAATTTCCTTTCACAGCAAGTGCCTGTTTTATGGTTTTGTCAGCTGTGATTGATGTGCACTTGGAAAAGGGGCGGGGCCTGCAGACCTTTAACTATCCATTGTTCGTTTCACGTGGATTTGCCAATTCCTGCTTTATCTAACGAAATATCAAGCCTTTCATTTCTTTTTAGCGTTATCAGTCTATAGGTTATATTATATTATTGTTGTGGTTTATTATTACAGTTAGCTTAAAATAAAGTCTTGATGAACACTATGTGATATTTATAATTTACTTCTATTATTATTATTTAGTTTTTTAAACTCCTTATTCCGTGTATATAAGTAGCTGGGAAGGCATAGCATAGTGTTTATTAAAGTAATACAGTATTTACAAACCATTATAGAGCGCATAGTCCCTCCTGTCCTTTCATTACCTGTCCATCAGTATGTCTGCCTCCAGGGTCGGGACCTCACTCTAACTCAGTTTTCAATAAAGGGCGGTGAGAGAAATCAAATGAGCAGCGGTCATCTCTTCCCCAGAGTTCCTCCCCCCATAGATGGATCAGACAAAAGGCGCATGGAGCGGAATATTAATGAGTAGACTCTCGCGGGACGGGCGAGACACATCACCCAAATGAGCTGTCAGCGGCCACCGGAAAACATTCTTCAATCCGCCCGATTGACGAGAGTTTCGCTCAGCAAAGCGCCATTCATTTAGCCTTTCACTCGGGTTCTATAGGGGTGGGAATCTTAAGGCACCTCACGATCCAAAACAGGGGCGTAGCCATCATTTCAGAAGTGAGGGGGACAGAGAAAGGTCAAATGTAACCTTTTTCTTTTTTTTTTTTTGGTCTAATTGACAGATTTTATTATTTTTCTTATCTCTTACTTTTAATTGACTAAGAAATTACTTCTGGCTAAGAATAAGACTTCTGGACAATTACCAATAACTTGTATTATTAATTAAAGGGGTCATATGATGCTGCTAAAAAGAACATTATTTTGTGTATTTGGTGTAATGAAATGTGTTTATGCGGTTTAAGGTTCAAAAAACACATTATTTTCCACATACTGTACATTATTGTTTCTCCTCTATGCCCCGCCTTTCTGAAACACGTCGATTTTTACAAAGCTCATTGGTCTGAAAAAGCGAGGTGTGCTCTGATTGACCAGCTATCCAGTGCGTTGTGATTGGCCGAATACCTCAAGCGTGTGATGGAAATGTTACGCCCCTTACCATATTGTGATGATGCCCTGTCCAGATGGAGCGATGATTCAAAGACATGAAAACCCATTATAAACGAGGCATTCGTTGCATCCAGTGGGGACATAATTATGGATTATAATGACTTATACTGTCTTTTTATGCGTTGCGTTGCATCGCACCGCGTAAACATAAAACCATGTCTGCATTTGTGATCGGAGAAATGACAAACAACAAGCCCTACTCTACACTGCCCAAAAAACTCTCTCTAAACTATAAATATATAAAATATAAAAACTCTTTCAATAAAAAAAACGTACTTACAGTCTGTGAGTCAGAACAGCTGGCATTGTAGTCTACTCTCCCAGGATCAGGAAACAGCCCTCCATAAAATGTGCTGCACACATCTGAATATTTAGGTTGAAGTGTTCTGGAACAGTGTTGTAAATACAAATATTTTTCCTATATTTTCCTAATATCAGTTTTATGGTTTGTTTATATACTACACTTTTTTCCATTTTTATCACAGAATAAGGCAGAAAATATATTTTATAGTTTCTATAGGCCACTGTAATAAATGCTATGTCAGTTAGCACTGCATTATTCATATACTTTATTTATTACCTGGATGACTTGAAAAACACACACAAACCATATATTGTCACAATTGTGCATGTATTGTCTTTGTTTTGTATTCAGCTGAGCTACAGAGATAGCTGGATGCCTTTGTCCATAATAGGGATTTCCTGCACGTCATAAGTTATTAGTTGAATGAGTCCGTTTTGTATTTTCCCTCCGGCTTCCAGTTCCCTCTGGCGCTCTGTAATGTTCATATCTTCTAATTTTGGATACAATAAAACGCCAGATCATGCAAAGACTATCTTTTCTCTTTGAATTTAAATCTATGGCCCCTGAAAACCTCTACGTCAACACACTTGCCCGAAAAATGTGCGGGGGACGAATTTACATTTTATTAAAAGTGGGGGGATATCTATCTATCTATCTATCCATCTATCTATCTGTCTATCTGCTTTTTGTTTCTGACTGATTTAAACTGCAGTTGTTAATTAACCAATTATAGAAAGACAATCAGATTTGATCTCTTCAGGCGACTTCAGTGAGGATGGAGTGTGGTGCGGTGCTCACACAGCCCTGTGGGTAACATGTAATTACACATGCACCCTTTAATTAAATAATTAGCAATGTAGCTGGGAGAAATCCTACATCTCATCCCATTTGTTTCATGTCAATCCCTGCGCTTTAAACCAGTTTGCCAGACTACAGATTTATTTGTAGTTCAGCTTTGTAGTTGAGAACCCATCAGTGTTTGCATTACAGTAGCTTGTTTGCACATACATCATATGTTCAAACGAACTACATCAGTCCTCAAGGCCAAAGTTTCCCTGCTGTACTCGTGTGGATGTGTGCTTCAGAAATTAATTAGTGCAGTTTGGTGATGTATTTAGTACTTTAGGAGTGTTAGAGTGATGTGTGTGTGTGATGATATATAGTGGGGGCAGGGTGATGAGTTTGTGTGTGTGTGTGTGTGTGTAATGGGGGTGCTGGTTGTGTCCCATTTCGGCACATTAAAGGCAAGGCGCTCACGGCAGCTGGATAATGAGAGTACACATGCAGCCTGATCTCCCTCGGGTCCTGTCTGTTTCTGTGATAATCAAATAGACTGCTGCCTTCTGCGTGCTTTTGTGCCTCAGGCCTTTGAGGGTGAGACACCAAAGCAGGTGATCCATCTCGCCGTCTCAAGTCAGTTAATCGTGAAGCGGAATCAAAGATCTTCAATGGAACACTAGACAAGGTTAAGTCATAGACTGAATAGCCAATATTAGCTCTGAAATCATCACGACTGGATCATGTTTTCAGTGAGGTGTATGCTTGTGGTCTTTGTTCACATCTGGCAGACCTGCTTCACTCTCGCTGTCCTCCTCCTCTGTTTTACAATTTTATACTTCTAATTTTTGTCATGCGCTTGAGTTTTGACCTCAGCCGCTAAACCACGTTGCCATGGTTTCATATGAGCGATTCTAAGAACAATTATAAAGTTATTTTAAGTCTTATTTTGGTCTTGAATAATGGACATGCTTCTGTGCTGATTTCAAAGGAAATGGCGTGTTGCAGGAATGTAGAGGAAAAACACAAGGATTAGACTCAAATATCAGAAAATTTTAAAGGGGTCATATGATGTTGCTGAAAAGAACATTATTTTGTGTATTTGGTGTAATGCAATGTGTTTATGCGGTTTAAGGTTCAAAAAACATTATTTTCCACATAATGTACATTATTGTTGCTCCTCTATGCCCCGCCTTTCTGAAACACGTCGATTTTTACAAAGCTCATCGGTCTGAAAAGCGAGGTGTGCTCTGATTGGCCAGCTATCCAGTGCGTTGTGATTGGCCGAATGCCTCAAGCGTGTCACGGAAATGTAACGCCCCTTACCATATTGTGATGCCTTG